TCTCCTACTCCCTGTGTCTCCGTGCGTGTCTCGACGCCCGCCGCGCGCGAGCGCGCGGTTTGTTGCGTTACCATGGAGCTCGGGGCGCCGCGGGAACGCGGCTTGTCACCCCGGCAGCCCGGGAGGACCAAACCCCACCTAGGTGGCGGCGGCGAGAGCGGCTGCGATGGTGTCCAACCCGGTGCACGGCCTGCCCTTTCTCCCGGGCACGTCCTTTAAGGACTCCACGGTGAGGACTTCTCCGCCGGGCCCTCACCTGTCGCCACTCTTGGGCGGCCTCGGAGGGCTCGCCGCTTACTGAGCCTCCTTTCTCGTCCATGCAAGTTTGTCCTCTTTCCCTTCAACCCTGTCCTCTGCGCCAGCTCTGTTCGCTCGTCTCCCCGACCCAGCCTCACCCCCTCTGCCCGTCCTTTGCCCTCCACCCCGGCAGTCTGTTGGCCTCCCAGCGTTCTTCCCGGCTGCTGTGCACCTCTAGCCCCGGCCTTTTCTCCCTCGAGATCACTGTTTCCCCCTTGCTCTCCCTAGCTTGTTCTCCCACCTCGTACCCCTCTCTGCTCATCTCCATCCTTAGCCGCCCCCACCTCCCCGAGCCTGGGCAACTTCTCCGACTCAGCCTCTCTGCGCCTTCATCCTCATTTCCACAGCCCGCTCCCACCCACTCTCCCCAGGCCCGGCATTCCCGCCTCGCCTTCCTCCTCCTCCTCTGAGTCCCAGACCCAGTAATCTCTCCCACTCCCAGCTGCGTTTCCTGTCGAATGAACCATTTCCACCTATTTGCTTCTTTCTGCCGGTCCTTGTCCGCAGTCTCCTCCCTTCTCATTTATGCTTCTGCCAAACCCTATCCCTTTTCTGTCCAGCACTTCTGCCTTTTCTACAGTCGAGTCCCAGCTTCACCCTGTTCTTGTTTCCTTTCCCAATTGCTTTCTCCAAAAGTTAGACTTTCAGCACTTGGCCATCTTCTCCCAAACCATCCTTAGGTGCTTTGTAGGAGATAATTTTAGTTCCCTCCACAAGTGATTAGTTGCTGTTTTTTCTTTCCCTAGCCCTTTTCTTTTCAATTTAACATATTTATAAAAGATTCCTGTTTAGATTTTTTCACTCCTCCCCTACCTTAAATGTTTTTATTTGCATCCTCTAGACAAAGTTGAAGAGAAAAAAAAAGGTTTTGTGAGTTTAGCCCTTGACAAAATTATTATTGTTTTAATTCTGAACTATACATGGGAAGATCAACACTAAAATTCAATAGGCTGATTATCGGAGATGAAGCAATAATAATTTATATTTATATAGTTTAATAATTTAAACTATAACTTCCTCTCCTTGGTCGTAAAGGTAAGATAAAATACACCATCAGTTTATTTTCTTTGGGGGAATGAGTTGAAATTGAAAGTTTGGTGAGGGAATTTGGATTCTGAATATCTTCTTCATAATTACTCCTGCATTAAGACAGAGCATCCTAGGTTGTTTGTTGTTGTTGTTGTTGTTTTCAGTGGACTTTCGGTTTTATGTAACTTACTGAACGTTGTAGGCAGGTTCTTTCCCTGGGCGGGACAGCTTACCATTTGGTGTTGGTGAGTGTGCATTCCCTGAGAGGCAGGGCTGAGTTGATTTGGGAGGTGCCAGAGGTGTGGATTGGAGGTGCCAGGCTCTGAGAACATATATTGCTGTACTCCAAGTAAGATGAACCGTGCATTGGACATATTCCAGATTTTAATTACAGTGGCCAAGTGCCAACCACTTCGCCTCATTTGAAAAACATGGTCACTGTCTTCAGCCTTGAAGAACAGGTGTGTGTAATTCTCAAGGCCTTTAATAGGCGAACCATGAAGAGTAATGTGGGGAGCCTGAGGTTGCCTTGCCTGGGGTGCCCATGAAATCCACTAAATAAAGGTCATAGAACTGAGTGGTGGGAGAGGTGTCTGTCTAAAATGGGGGGAGCAACTGGAGCAGCTGATGTTGCTTCTGTGTTAAGAGGTGGGAGAAGAGCTTGATGTTACACAAGTTACCCCGTGAAGACATCAGCTCAGCCCGTTTTATTCTGTGTCATTTGTATAGTGTCCTGTTAACTGACTTGTGACCCTGAATGTATGACCCTTAAAGTCTACGGTGCGTAACTTTTGGCAAAAGAAATTTACTCTATTGCACCTTTAATGTTAGTATAGGTCTTGAAAGATGGTAGGTTGGGCTGCAAAGGCATTAGGAGGTAAGTGAATACGTTTTTTTTTCCATAAAAAATATATTTTATGATTAATCCTAAATTATATATATGTGTGTGTATGTATATGTATTGTGTACATATGATTTTGGATGTAACATTGCAAAGAACAGAAAAAGGAAAACCATTTCCATCAAATTAACAATCTCTACTGTATTTGAAAAGTTGTTAAGACAGTAGACCTTAACTGTTCTCAACACCCAAAAAATGGTAATTATGTGATTGGATGCAGATGTTAGTTAGCTAAAGCTATAGTACTAATCATTTACAAAATACAAGCGTATCAAATCTACAGGTTGTACACTTTAAACTTACACAATATTATATGTCATTTATATCTCAGTAAAGCTGTAAAAAAGTGGAAAGGAAAATTAGAGATTGTTAATTTGCTATCATCAATGAGATTGTTTTAATTTCTCTTTCAGATAGTTCACTGTGGTGTATAGAAACACAGCTGATTTTTGTATATTGATTTTGTATCCTGAAGCTATACTGAATTTGTTGACTAGTTCTAATAGTTTTTTGGTGGAGTCTTTAGGGTTTATAAATATAAGATTGTATCACCTGTAATAAAGACAGTTTTACTTCTTCTTTTCCTAGTTGGATACCATTTATTTCTTTTTCTTCCCTAATTGCTCTGGCTAGAACTTCTAGTACTACGCTGAATAAGAGTGGTGAGAGTGGGCATCCTTGTCTTGTTCCTGATTGTAGAGGAAATATTTTCAGCTTTTTACCATTGAGTGTGATGTTAGCTGTGGGTTTGTCATATATGGCCTTTACTGTGTTGAGATATGTTCCTTCTATAGCCAATTTATTGAGCATTTTTATCATGAAACGGTGTTGTATTTTGTCAAGTGCATTTTCTGCATCTATTGAGATGATCATATGATTTTTATCTTTCATTTATTGATGGGATGTATCATATTTACTGATTTGCATATGTTAAACCATCCTTGCATCTCAGAAATCAGTTCCACTTGACCATGGTGTGTGATCCTTTTAGTGTGCTGTTGAATTTGGTTTCCTAGTATTTTGTTGAGAATTTTTCCATCTATGTGCATCAGGGATATAGGTTTGTAATTTTCTTTTCTTGTAGTTTCCTTGTCTCGTTTTGATATCAAAGTAATGCTAGCCTTGTAAAATGAGTTTGGGAGTGCTCCCTCTTCTTTAATTTTTTGCAAGAATTTGGGAAAAGATTGGCATTAATTCTTCTTTAAAGGTTTGATAGACTTCACCAGGAAACTGGTCCCAGGCTTTTCTCTGTTAGGAGGTTTTTAATTACTGATTCAATTTCCTTACTTGTTATTGGTTTGTTCAGGTTTTCTATTTCTTCATAATTAAATCTGGGTAGGTTTTCATTTCTAGGAATTTATCCGTTTCTTCTAGGTTATCCAGTTTGTTGGCATATAACTATGCATGGTAACTTCTCATGATCCTTTGTATTCTGTGGTATCAATTGTAATGTCTCCTTTTTCATTTCTGATTTTGAGTTCTCTTTTTTTCTTAATCTAGCTAAACGTTTGTCAGTTTCATTTATCTTTTCAAAGAAAAGCTCTTAATTTCTTTGATTATTACTATCATTTTTCTAGGCTCTTTTTCATTTATTTCTGCTCTAGTCTTTATTATTTCCTTTCTTTTGCTAACTTTGCACTCCCTTTCTAGTTTCTTAAGGTTTAAAGTGAAGTGGTTTATTTGTGATCTTTCTTATTTCTTGATGTAAGCATATATCATTATAAATTTATCTCTTAGAACTACTTCTGCAGCATCCTGTAGGATTTCATTTTTGTGCTTCTGTTTTCATTTGTTCAACTTTATTTTTTAAAATTTCCCTTTGATTTCTTTGACGTGGTTGTTCACGACTGTGGTTTTTAATTTCCACATATTTGTAAAATTTCCACCTTCCCTCCTGTTATTGATTACATACTATTGTGACTGATATGATTTCAGTCTTCTTAAATTTGCTGAGGCTTATTTTGTGACCTATCTTGTGATCTATCTTGGAGAATATTCTGTATGTGCTTGAGAATGAGGAGTATGCTGCTGCTGTTGAATGGATTGTTTTGTGTGTGTCTGTTCTGTTTGATCTACAGTATGGTTCAAGTCCAGTGTTTCCTTGTTGATTTTTTCCCTGGCTGATCCATCCATTGTTGAAAGTCGGGTATTGAGGTCCCCTGCTATTACTGTTCTGTTATCTGTTTCCCCCTTCAGATCTTTTAGTATTTGGTCACATAAAAAAAAAAACCCATTTACTCCCCTCCCTTTATGTATTTGATGTTACTATTTACATCATTTTACATTGTGTATCCATTAACAAATTGTTGAAGTTAGCACTTTTTTTATACTTCTGTCTCTAAACCTTTACGCTAGAGTTAGTTAACATTTTGCCATGTTACAGTATTAGGGTATCTGTGCTTACCTTTACCAGTGTGTTGTATATTTTCATGTTACTAATTAACACCTGTTTGCTTCAGCTTAAAGAGCGCCTTTCAGCATTTCTTAGAAGGCAAGCTTAGTGGTGATAAAGCCCTTCAGCTTTTATTGAGTAGGGAAAGTCTTTATCCTGCCTTCATTTCTGAAGGACAACTTTTCTAAGCACTCTTGGTTGGCAGTTTCTTTCTTATGCACTTTCTAGAGGCCTAAGCTGGCTGCCCTGGGCTCCGGTGGGGACAGGTGGGGGGAGGGGGAGGGGAGGGGAGGGAGCAGGGAGGGACTCAAGTGGTGGCTCAGCAAACCTGAATACGAGTGGGGCAGAAGCTGGTGACATCTGCAGGGGCGACAGGGCAGCTGCCGCTCTGCCGGCCACTGGCATTGGGTCAGGCTCTGTGGCCTGTCTGCCACGCGGGTCTGTGAACTGTTGTGGCTCCCTCTGACGCCCTCTGAGTGGCTACTGCCTGGAGCCCCTGCTTTTCTTCCTCATCTCTACCTGGCTCGATACACGTCGGCTTTGCCCGTCTTGGGGGGGAGCAGCTGAGGTGGGACCTTTGTGTAGTGCCCCCAGAAGCCTGGAGAGCTGGCTGCCCACCCTGCTCTTCTTTCCTGGTGAGGGGAACTCCTTCTAGCTGGAAAGTTCCCTCCTGGCTTGGAGGACGGGATGATGCAGACAAAACGAAGCTGGCTTCCTTCTCTTCCTGTGTCATTATCCTTGTTTTTTTTGTTCTTTTGTGTTGCTCAGCCTCCTGAATGGACTCTGGACCTCTTCCAGAGCTCTTGTACGTGGATGGCTGTCCAGCTGTTGATCTTTGTGGAGGTACTGTGGGAGCTGGGTCTCTTGTGCCACCATTTTGGTCTCCTCTGCCTTCAAAAATATTTCCTACTTTTTTCTTTATTTATACTTAATCTTTTGTTTTTTCCAATTATCAATAAAAATGTGTTGACTGTGGGAAAAAACTCAACTTAATTGAGAAATGTATAATAGACAGAGAGCGTTCTCTGAATCCAGTCTTTTTGTGCACATGTTTTCATGCTTGTAATTGTAGTACATATGTAATTTTATAAGCTGCTGTTTTGGGTTTATTAAATCAAAAACATTTTCCCCAGATTGTCACATTGTCTTTAAACCCAATATTTTAATAGGTGCATAATAGCCCATGATGTGAGTTTTCCCTCGTTGACTCATGCTTGTTTTTTAGATTGTTTCCCATGTTTTACTGTTATAATTAACATATTAACAGTCAGCCTTAGGCATATTGTTTTTTTCCCATAATTTTGGATTATGTTAAAGGATTGCAGTGGAATTATTGAGCTTAAGACTTTATTTTTTACTTGAAGTATAGTTAGTTACAATGTGTCAATTTCTGGTGTACAGCATCATGCTTCAGTCATACATATACATACATATATTA